CAAGGGGCGACTGTCTGCTCAGCTATAAAAAGTGTGGTTGACAGACAGCCTCCTGCTGTTACCTCCTTCAGGGTCAGCCTTAGCTAGAGAGAGTGACTTTGTCCAAGAATGTGCCTCCCTGGAATAGTCTGTATCTGGTGACCAAGCAAGGGAGTAGAATAAATGCCAGATATTTAAGTTCAACGTGAGAAATCTAGACAGGCAATACTGTGTTCAGAGCTACCTCCCTACCCTGTGCTTTCCAGTGGATTGGCCAAGGTTCTCCTGGGCCTACATTGCCCAATTCAAGTTCAAATTTTCTTCTGCTCAATCCTGTTACCTCCTTCTTCTGCAGATGGGTGTTTGTTTTATAAAAGATTTTTTTCTTAATTCTACATAAATTTATATTATCCTTATATCTACTCTGATATATGCAAAGCAAAGCATACTGTTGCTTTTCATTAATCCCACTAAGTGGAGATGTGAATAGCAGGACAGAATTTATTTTTACAAAAGGAGAGATGAAAAGAACAGGAGGTCATGGATCTTCAGTGCAACCAAAAGCATCTATTAATATTAAAGATCACACTTCCTTAAGTTATAAAAGACTATATTTTTTTAAGTTTTTGATATAAAAATTTTTAAGATAATACCGTGAGTTCCCATATACCTGACACCCATTTTTCCCCATAACTAATATCTCACATTACTATGATATATTTGCTATAATTAATGGACCAATATTAATACATTGCTATTAACTAAAATCCATACTTTATTAAATGCCCTTGGTTCTTACCTAATAGCCTTTTTCCTGTCCCAGGATACCACATTACATTGAGACATCATGTTTCTTTAGGTTTCTTTCTGTTCATAGGTATTGATCCTAATAATTATCTTATCTCCCAACTTCCATTTTATAATCTGTTTCTGAAGAACCAAATCTGAGATTGCTAGTTGCCTATTCAACATCCATTCTCCCTTCTTGTTGTTAATAACATCCCAATCTCCTAAAGTGAGGTAAGGGGAGAATACACCTCAGGACATGAATTATATTGGGCTAAACCAAGTAAGGTGATTCCAATTTAGTTTGTTCTGGTGACTTTCCCAGGGGTATGCATGGAACCCAGTCTTTTTTTTTAAAGATTTATTTATTTATTTATACAAGCACTGGGTACAGTCAGAAGCGCAGGAGGGTGACAGAATTCACCAGAGTCAGAGAGGGGAACAGAACAGGCAGACTGACGAAATACACTGCTAAGGGGAGCAGCGGGTGCGGCAGGAGAGGTTTGCGCACCATGTGGGACCCTCGCCGGCGGCCGGGGATCGAACGGGCATTGCAGAGGCTACGGGCAGCTTCCCAGCCCAGCACTTAACTGCTGCGCTACCAGGGGAGGCCCATGGAACCCAGTCTTGATTAAAACACACACACACACACACACACACACACACACACACAAAGAGACATCTGTTAGGAACTTTCTAGGAAGATTTTTCTCCCTGATGAAAGAAAAATTCTCATGAGAACCCAAGGAGACAGGGTTTTTTGTATTTTGTTTTACCCACTTCTTTCCTTATCTGCACAAGACACTGTCATGTGATGTCTGGATCTGCAGCAGCCTCAGACAACAGGAAACGCAGAGGGGACAATGGCTCCTGGTTATGTCATGACATCATTAAGATGAACAACCACCACTGTAACTAGAATTCTTATTATATGAATGATAAATGTTTAAGACACTGCTTGTTGAACTTTCTATTACTTGCAGCTCAAAGCATTTCTAAAATGCACTTACTCTGGCAGGCACAAGAAAAGGATTATAAAGATTCACACGGCTAACAGAAGATAGACCCTTATAAAACTTTAATAGCATTTCCAGGCCTCACAGAGTTTAAATTGAACAGGAGTTCTCTATCCAAAGCAGGATGCTTCCCTAGCAATGTTAGGTGTATCCACTCTAGTGGTTGACTCTATATATCTTTTCTGTGCCTCATATCTTCATCCTCATAAATATGGCTTGCTTAGGTTATCTTAAGTCTTTTCATTTAATGATCTTTCAGAAAGTCTCAATATCTCTATTGAATCTTCAGAGAGAGAATATAATCAACCCAGCACATCTTTTTCTGCCAGACCAGACCATACCATAAGTCACTAACCAGTCTACAGATTGTCTTCAATAACCAGTCTACAGCTATGCATCCTATCTTGCTCTAGTCAAGTAAGAAAGTCACATGGTATAAAACCAAGATACACAGAGTTGTCCCTTCAACAGGATCATACGTGGAACTGTGAATGGGTAAGGCACAGTGACACAGAGGGTGCAGCACAGCAGCAGCTGGGAGCCGAAAAGTGAAGACATCAATGCCTTTCACTCTTACTCTTTATATCTCTGCCTTACCCATAGCCTGATTCTAAGACTTTTCCTCTGTTTGGTATTATTGGAAATCTTCCTTTATCATACAAATAAAAGACAAAATGTCTTAAATAAACCTTTGGTTATTGTTACTGGAGGGTGAGGGAGAGAAGGAGAAGCAGGAAAAGGAGAATAAAAAGGAGAAAGAGGAGGAGAAATAACAAAGAAGAAAAGGAGGGACAAGGAGGGAGGGGAGGAGGAGGAGGGAGAACTAACAGAGCAAGAGGCTATTGTTTTTGACAGGCATAGACAGGTGTTGATGACAAAGACTTGGCACATAAACGAGAGAAAGACAGAAAGTATAGCCATGAATTAGTGGGATACAAGCCAGCTCCCACTCAGCCCAGAGATGTAAAAACAGAGATGGATTCATGGAAGACAGAATTTTTAATGGTGACATAAACTAGACTAATCCAATAGGTTCCTGCAGTATAATCCTATCCCATGGAAAGCATTCCATGGCCTCAGCCATACCATCGCTCTTACCAGTCTTCCCACAGGCTCATTATCTCCTCTTCCTAATATCAACATTATGATACATTTTCACTACACATTTCATCAGAGAGCACTAAATTAATCCTATTCTAAAAGGGTTAAAGTACCCAGTTTATCCCTGGGAATATTATAAGCAATGGGAAAACTTGGTCCATGTATCTGAAAGCACAGAGTGTAACTATGAAAATGGGATTTTACTCCATGACTACCAGAAGTTTCTTGCAAGCATTTGCTTTGCAGAAACCTTGGCTTTCATTCTTTCTTGATTCTTTTTAAGCTGGTCTTTGAACACTACTCAGTAGGTAGTTGGCCCTTTTGATGTTTGGCACTGGCATAAAAAGGATGAGTTATTTAATTTTCTGCAAAGGCAACCAAGCCTGTTCTGTATGTAAAGAAGCAAGCCGCTCAGGCATATGTGACTATGCGGGAGTGAAAGCTTTTCTTCTTTGAAGGTTCAAAGTTAACATGTCAACTGAATTCCAAGAAATTGTGCATCAGAGCCTAAAATATAGAAACTAAGCAACTTAAACAGGGTTAAAGCAATTACCAATAAAATTAAGACAATGGTGAAAACATGTTTTCTTTCTTTTTTGTCTCCAATATCCACATTAATTGTTCCCTTACCAAATGGAATGTTAGCAATCCAAAAAGAACTTATGTTGCTTATATCTCAGAAACAAGACAAATTAGAAATCTGACTTGATTATACAGATAGGTTAGAATACAATCCAGTAGGAAAGTTTCTTGTAGCCCAAATGGTCCAGATTGGTCACTTGATGGAATTGAGGTGATGAGCTGTGAAAGACATTTTTAATTTGTGTACAAACAAGGCACAAGAAGTGAACAACATTCAACAACTTTACTGAATGCCTACATGAAGTAGCTGTGTACTGAGTGCCAGTAATACTGAAATGAAAAATGACAAATATCTACCAAAATTATTGAATGAATCTAATCTGAAAGGGACAAACAGGAAATAAATGAAAGTAGACTGTCATAGAGTTTATGGGTTTAGAGAATGATTAAGCATTTTGAATTTCATGAACTTGAAAGTTCTTGAAGTCAGTACAGTACTTGAAGTCAGTACAGTACTTGAAGTCAGTACAGTACAGTATTAAGTTTAGTCTTAAATACTTTTTTACTCACATACCCTATCAAACTTCTCTGGCTCCACCACACCATACAGTTTAGGGTCAACTCAATTGTCCACAAATGTATTTGAACTATGATTTTGGTCAAGTCATTCTCACTCTCAAACCATTCAAGCCATCACCTCTTCTCCCACATTCCTCATAACTCCCCTTCTCCCTGCCACCATTGCTTCTTTGCCCTATCTTGTCTGTTTTAAAGTCCACTTTTTTTAGCCTAATGAAATGCTAATGCCTCCAAGAAGAAAATCAATGATTCCTTTGGTCACAATTGCCATGCACTTTCTGGGCTCTTATTACATTTTGCTTATGTCTCGTGTTTAGAGTACACTGCTTAACCTGCATTTTCATCATCATAAACATATCTATCAACATATCCTGTACTAGACTGTTGTTTTTCCAAAGGAAGTCATGGTCTTACTCATTTCTGTAACCCTGCGAGGTTAAGAGTGGGTACTCAACACTTGTTCATTAATGTGTTAAACTGGCTTGAAGGAGGACAAACAAGATGCATGAAATGCTCTTCTTAAGTAAGCATAGCCAGTAAGTCTGGGTAGCCTATGAAAATTCATTGTCTTTTAGTATCTTTTATTGTTTCCTATATTAGCACACTACTTTTTCTTTTTCTTTTAATTTTTAAAATTTTTTTATTTTTTTTTATTTTATGTATTTTTTACAACATTTTTCATTTTTGCACAATGTATGCATTTTCATCTTGGTTATAGTCCCCACACAATTTCCACCCCACTTTGTTTTGATCCTACTCCCTCCTCTGCCCCCCCTCACCGATAGTGTGTCTCTGGTTTATAATGGCTTGCTGATTTTGATTTTTACTTTATTAAAATTAGCCTTTTAAAAAACCTAAATAAGGGACCAGGAAAAAGCACACTACTTTTTCAAGGGTTTCTCTTACAGCCTTCTGTAATTCTTGATATTTCTCATTTTTAAAACTTATTTTTTTCAGAATCACTCTTCCGCTGTGTCTCTATCTGTACCAGGAAGTTGGTCTACTTCAGGAAAGCATGAACCAGTATATGGTTGACTGAACTTCCTTATCATCAGAACATGCTGCTGCCCAGACATATCAAGGAAATGTATTACTTCGAAGGAATATTCACAACACTGTCAGCTATAGAAGTTTTCTTTATTCGAGAGTAGGTTGGTCAGCTACTAGAGGAGAGGCAACTTGACATTTGCAACCCAAACTAACTAGCTAGGTCCCAGGCTAATTTTGGCTATGTCTTCCAAGGACCTAAAAAAGAGGAAAATTACTTGTAGGGAGAGGATTATTTTATTTTGCAGAATTACAAAATTTCACAATAGAAGAGCACGGAAAAAGGGTAGGAGGGAAGGTGTCTCTTTCATTAATCAAGTTTTTGAGGTTTGGAACTTTTGAGGTTTCAGGAAAAATGACTGACAGAGTCAGTCATTCAATCAATTGTTCAATAAATATTTGTTGAACAATTACTATGTGGCAGGAAATTCATAGGATCGAGCAGGGCTGACATGATCTATGTCCTTAAGGAATGTTCAGTCTAATAAAGAGGCAGATCTTAAATAAACAACTGCACAGATATGTGTGAGAAGTGTTGCTATGGAAAAGCATATGGTGCTATGAGAATGTACAATGGGGATGTGTAGTCTAATGGTGAGGAGCAAGGAAGGTATCTCTTTTGTTTTTATTCTTTTGTTTTTATTCACACAGCTTTTCAAATGTTATTTACCCCCACCCCCATCCCTTATATCCCCTTTCCTTCCCCCTCTATCTTGACCTCAGAGCCCTCAGGATGTATATTGATGTCCTCTTGTTTTTGAAAGTGTTTTGCATTATCAAATTGTCTGCTATTTAAATATCCAGTATATGTTTTTATCATTCTGAATTACTTTTCTGCATGTAAGTTTCTCAAACACCCTCCATTTTGTTGAAAATGGTTACATTTCAGCCTTTCTTATGGCTATAAAATATTCCATGGTATAGATATACCACTTCTTCTTGATCCAATCATCTACTGATGGACATTAAGGCTGCTTCCATGTCCCAGCTATTGTAAATAATGCTGCTATAAGTACTGTGGAACACACAGGTTTCTGTTTTGAAGGTTTCATAATCTGGATATATGCGCAAGGATGCAATTTCTGGGCCATTTGGTTATTCCACTTATAGTTTTTGAAGATAAATCCATATCACTTCTAAATGGCTACGCCAGTTTACATTCCTACCATCAGCACCATAGGGTTTCTTTTTCTCCATATACTTTCCAGTACTTGTTGTTGTGGATCTTTTTAATATGTGTCATTTGCACAGCTGTGTGATGGTGTCTTGTGGTTTTCTTACTAGAAGCAACAATTTACTCTTTGATGAATTGTCTGTTCATGTCTGCTGCCTGGAAGACCTCTCTTTTGAAATATTTAAAGCTTCAGAAAAACAGTGAACATTTGCCATGTGAAGAGAATTATTTTCAGTCAGAGAGAATGTGAACATGGTTGCACTCTCACCTGGAACTCACAATAGGAAGGTAGACTTGAGGGACAAGAAAAATGGGGTGAACAAAAAAAATGGATATATATACAGGTGGGGACACATCTCTTTTTTTGAAAAAAGATTTATTTAGGGCCTCCCTGGTGGCCCAAGGGATTAAGACACAACCTCTGAAGCTATCCGCAGCCAGTGCAGCACGAATTTGATCCCCTGCTGGGGGGGCTGCCCACATGGCACAGCAGACCTCTCCTGACTCGACTGCTGCTCCCCTCAGCAGTGTACTTCAGTCAGTCTGCCTGTTCTGCTTCCCACTCTGTCTCTGGTGGGTCCTCTCACCCCCAACACATCCGGCCTGTGCCCCAGTTCTCATATGTATAAATAAATCTTATAAAAAATGCAAATGTTGAATGAGTCTCAATTCTTTTTTAATATCCAAAAGAGCAGGTTTATTGTATTAAAAAAAGAAAAGGACGCTTGCACAGACACAAATGGGCAGGAACAACTACCTCTGAAAAGAAAAGGTTTGTAAAAAGAGAAGCCTGCATAGACACAGGCGTACAGCCTTGGGATGAGAGCTGCCAATTATCTCAGTTCTTTCCCATTCAAAATTCAAAAGAGGTTTTATTTTTTTATTCCTTTTCTTGTTTTCATATTTTTCACTGAACAATTCATGTTTTCCCTGTTGCTTATTATTTGTCTACTGATGGGCAGAGCCTGGGACTCTAAGTGCTACCATATAAAGTTAGAATTTACAATTTATCAGATCCTGGTCAGTAGAAGTAAATCCTAAAGAGTTGTCCTTTCCTCTACCCAAAATCATGTGGGTTATCAAAAGACTAACATCAAAGCTGATTACTAAGAGGTTCCCAGCCAAGCAGTCCTTTGATTTGCTTTTACTTAACACATTAAGATAAAAATAGTTTCAAAAAATTCAAAAGCTCTTTTCATTTATATTTCTGACTCTTCCAGTAAAACAGGTTACCTAAAATTAATTAACTATCAGAGTACAATTACCCTTTCTACATCCTGGACTGAAACACACCCACACACACCCACACACACCCACGATAGATTTCCAGAAAGGTGCATTTTTTTCCCTAAAAATTCCTTAGAATTAACATGATTTTCTTTCACTGATTTATTAATACCTAGTCTTTCAAATATTGTCTTAAAAATAAATGTGTATAAGATAGGATACTGTTTCTTTGTATCTGAAAAATAGACCAATTAATAACCTAAAGTTTCCTAACAGCAAGACTTAAAATAGCTTATCTTTCCACTCTACTGACTACAACAAAATAAGGAAATATATCAAATGCCTAGTTACTTGCACTAATCGAGATGATCATAATATAACAACCAGAGATTTATAGTATTTTAAATATTTGATTGATGCTACCATACTTTGTATATTTAAATCCTTTTTCAATAGGTAACAAAGTTATTTTCAAAATTGGTTTGGAGTCCCTGGAAACATTGTTTCTTTATCTTTGAGTGTTTCCATCCATGCAACTCAAGATATAAATCTATTGCAGTTTGCGTGCATACATTGTACAAAAATGAAAAATGATGTAAAAAACACATAAAAGAAAAAATGAAAAGAAAAAAACACTGTACCAAAACATATTTAACAAAAATTATTTCAGACTCTGAGTGTCAGATAACAAAGTCTCTACAGTGAAGGATTATGGGTATTTTGGTGGTAGGTGTGGTACAGTAACATACATCTGAAGAGGTATCAACCTATAACTCCAAATCACATATAGTGATGTAAACCGAAATTACCTCAATTAAAAATACTACAATAAAAATAAAATTAAATTTTAAAAAAGGTACTGAAAAAAAAATCTATCGCAGTTTGCACAAAGGACATCTGACATACAATTGGGAGTCTAAAGGGGTATAGACATAATCAGAATCTATCAGGAAAGCAGAGAGGAGTTTATCAGGTCTGATCTTCAAGCCCATTTCTTAATTAGTCTGCCTCAGGCAATTGTTCTTCATGCAAGTAAGGCCACCTTATTTAAATCAGGATGATTATATTATGAATGCAGAAAGTAATGTCTATTTTGGCCATATGCAAAGATAAAGGAAAAGCCGTGAATACATGTTCTAATAATCCAGTACGTTGTAAAGTACAGTAAAAGAGAGTACTCAGGTGGGCCTTTAATCAATAATGTGGGAAGTGGTAATGGGCCGAAGCTTAATGATCACACGCCAAAAAGGATGATGGGGGGGTGGGGAAGGTGACATCCATTCTAGAAGTTTTCTATTTAGCTACAGTTCTGTGAAAGCTTGAGCAATTTTCTTTTTGCCAAGAAAAGTAGTTTTGCTGCCCATTTGTTTTCTCATAGAAAAGAATTTATTTTTATTGATAGCTCATATATATTGACATTTAGTATATTACATATTTCAAATACTATATACCTCTCTTTTGAATCTAATCACAAATATACCTTTTAGATGAGAAAAAAAAACTGAAAAAAAAACCCATATCACAAAATTCACCAATTTTAAGTGCATAATTTAATGGTTGTCAGCATAGTCACATACTCATGCTTTCATCACTACAATCAATGTTAGAAACAAAGAAACCCAGTAATACCGGATGGTCTCACTCATAGCAGGAATTTAGAAAACCTAAATAAGAGACCAGGAAAAAGACTAATCAATACAAAGTAAAAATCAAAATCAACAAGCAACTATAAACCAGAGACACATTACGGGGCGGGGGGGCGGGGGAAGGAGGGGCAGGGAAAGGAAGGACTAGAGTCAAAATAAGGGTGGGGGAGATGGGGAATATAACCAAAATGAAAATGCATACATTGTGCAAAGATGAAAAAAGATGTAAGAATTATATAAAATAAAATATTTAAATAATTAAAAAAAAGAAAAAAGGAAACCCCACACTCACCTATCATCACCCACAATCCTCCCATCCCCACTAGTTCTAGGCAAACACCAATATACTTTCTGTCTCTATAGATTTGTCTATTCTGGGTATTTCATATAAATGGAATTATACTATTTGTGGTGCTTTGTGATTGGCTTCTTTTACTTTGCATAGAGTAGGACCTCCATATCCATGGGTCAGGTTGCACCTCTGTGGACATAATCAACCTTGAATCAAAAATATGTACCACAAAATTAGACCTACCTTGGTGTGTCTCTATTGAACATGTATAGATTTTTTCTTCTTGTCATTATTCCCTAAACAATATAGTATAACTATTTTACAACATTTACATTGTATGAGGTGGTATAACTAATTTAGAGATTTTTATATCTAGATTAAATTATGGGAGGTTGTGCATAGAGTATATGCAAATACTGCAGCCATTTTACATAAAGGACTTGAGAGTTCATGGATTTTGGTGTCTGTGCAGGTCCTGCAATCAATCCCCCATGGATACCAAGGGAGGATTGTATGTTTTTAAGGTTCATTCATGTTGCAGCAGGTACTGGTATTTTATTACTTTTCAATGAAAATTCATATTTAGTTGTATGGATATACCACATTTTACTTATTGATTCATTAATTGATGGACATTTGAATTGCTTTCACTTTTTAGATATTATGACTAATGCTGTTATAAACATTCATTTATAAGTTTTGTGAAAACATGTTTCTTTTTTTGATTGCTGAGTAATATTTCATTGTGCAGATGTACAACATCTTCTTGATCCAGTCATCTATTTTTGGGCATTTGGGTTGTTTCCATAGCTCAGCTATTGTAAATAGTGCTGCTATAAACATAGGGATGCAGGTACCCTTCTGAATTAATGTTTCTGTGTCCTTTGGGTAAACACCTAGGAAGAATTGGGGGATCATATGGAAGCTCCATCTTTAGCAGGTTGAGGAATCTCCACACAGCTCTCCATAGTGGTTGGACCAGTTTGCACTCCCACCAGCAGTGCAGGAGAGTTTCTTTTTCTCCACATCCTTGCCAACATTTGTTGTTGCTAGTTTTTTTAATATGTGCCATTCTAACTGGTGTAAGATGGTATCTCACTGTAGTTTTGATTTGTATTTCCCTGATTACAAGTGAAGATGTGGTACATATTCACAATGGAATATTACTCAGCAATCAAAAAAGATAAACTCATGCAAT